AAATTTATTACAATGTTGCACTGACGAGACTAGGTAGTCGAAATAGTACTATATGCATACATGTAGATAATGACATCTTCTGTAAATAGGAATTTTGTTAATAGCATTAACAAGTTAAGCTTGGTAGATCGGAGAATTATTCGAAGAATAGAGAAACTATCATATAGATTGAGTACTGTAAGAAACGCAGTGATCTTTATTAATAATATATATATATAACATATATATATATATATAACATATATATATATATATATATATATATACATATATATATATGTTACATGCTAAGTCATAGACCACATAAGTTCGCCCCCCCCAACCAAAATCTGAAATGACGCCCCTGGAGACTTTCTCTTAAGCCTTTCTAATACTCCTTTGACTCCGGCGAGAGTAGTTCGGCGGCGAATCTTTAACTTTAATCTTAGGTCTAATAACAATAGGTGCAATAAATCTAATTATAATACGACTCATAAGAAAATGAATATATTTAGTAGCAATAATAATATTAAAAGCAAGCAAAATAAATTAAATAAATCCTATTCTAATGTAATAAATACTAATGATAAGAATAATAATTCTATTAATTTAAATAATATAACTAGATATAAAAATAACACAATTCAACCTACTTCTACATTTTCACTAATTAATATTAACGTTAGATCTAACCAGCCAAGAAAGAAACCTGACACCTAATTTCCATCTAAGTTCACTGTCACAAAGTCAATATTTCCCTATATAAATCAACTTGCACTGATGATGATTCATTCGGAATCGAAATATGGCCTTATTTGCAGCATGAATTCGGAAAATAAGTTTATTTTGAATTTAATAAACTAAACGTTCTCCAAAAAACTTTAGTGAGAAAAATCGAAAAAATGAACTACGAGCTACAAACATATTAACGCCAAACATTCGGTAAAATTTATAGAATATTGTATAAATTATGGTCTATTACCAACATATATAAATAAATAAATAAATATATATATATATATATATATATATATATATATATACATACATACATATATACATGCATAACATAATGACAGTATCAATAATACATGAAGTATACATATAAAGTTAGTCCACACTAAATATATATCCTATACACTAAACTATCCACGAAAATCACAGCACCTCCAGCATTGCCCAACCCCCCATTCAACCTCGAATAGAAAGCCGAGCAACGACGCAAATGCCGCAACCCCCACAGACCACTGTACGTTTAATAGTCAAAATCCCAGTTATACCCATACCAACACATACATTAAACATGCATATCGTACAAGCAAACACATACACAAATTAAGCTTTACATTCAGATTACCAATGACATGCATGAATAAGTAGGTTTTAATAACATATAATTCAATAAAATTAAATATCTATCTACTGATAAAATCAATTAATCAATTTAAAGTTTGTCTTTTCAATTTTCCTCCTAGAATTTTTCAGGAAATTGTTCTATTTTTGAAAATAGAATTATCCAAGTTCATCATGAAAATTTAATGAAACTGTTGTTATTCAAATTCATCATGCAGATAAGGCCTTATTTCGATTTTTCATATATCATCTTCAGTATGAATTTGGTTTATATATATATATCTGCATATTTTTATATAAATAGCTATTTAATTCTAGTTATTTACTTCAAAACGTTTTTTGAATTGTTTTGGGTTAAAAAATGAGTTAACTTTTATAATTAAATTTTAAATTGTGTTTCAGTACGCTAAAACATGAATCAGGCCAAAATCGTAAATAAATCTTTTTAAAAAAAATTTGTCCATTAAAGAATATAAAAAGGAGAACTGTGGAAAGACACTGGCCATCAAACTTACAGGCGGTTGCCTTGCGTAGTTGACGTTTTTTTAAAATAAATCACATCGAATTTTCATTTTGTTCAACGACCCCATTTTAAACTCGATTATACAATTTTTCTAAAGCAACGTTTAAAAATAACCATAAATTGTAGTTTAAAACAATTTGACATCAAGTTAATAACAAGCAGAATTACAATATTTGTTTATGTGTTCATGGCCTTCAAGATGTTGCTCAGGTTATATTGACAGTTTAAAACTTCGCATACAAAGATGTTTGAAATGTACGACGCGTTGTTTTGAATGTTTGTGTTTATATAATATTGTTATGCACACATCTGCCAGCATCTATGCAACTTTGTTTGCCATGCACTGAACATAGTGTGCAATAGTGTTGATGTTGTTGATGTTTGCGACAAAATGGCAAAATATATGATTATTGATGACATTTTGTTATTCGTAAACTTGTTATGACGACAAGTTTCTAAAATTTGTGACCTCATATGTTTCGTAGCTAATCAGAAACTGAAATTTACATTTTGGTTAAGTGTAAACAACGAGGCAATCTTGCAAATCAGATTGATATTAATAACACTCACTCTTCAAAAACTGTTGCTGACTTTCCTGCGTTACAAATTTAAGATTATTGCAAATAAAGTTACAACTCTAAAAATGTACCACGACAGTAATGTGCAAAATGCCTCTGAAGTTCTCGATTACCTCAAATTCTTTCGTTCACTTGGAATCGTGCAAACCCACGTTCAAAAAATGTAAAAATTATGACAAACGATTGACCTTTTTTCAATTGAGAGTTGATGCTGGATTTTCAGATTAAATAATTAAAAATTGTTTCTGCTCTGAACGTGCGCCAGTTAGAAACTGCTCGTCGCTATTTAAATTCTCCAAAAATAAACATAATTATTTGGTTTTACGTATACCTTTGTTTACAATGCGACAGGCACTTCATATAATTTATTGATATTAACATGCGACAGCGTAGCGCACATGGTACTGTACAACTCTGTACTCAAGTGATGTAAAATTTTGCAGTTGTTCACTTACATTTTGTAAAAAAATTATAACTCGATATACAACAACAATATATAACAACGTATAACTCGCAATACCAAGAAACAACTGGCTTGTGCAAATGTTTTCTACAATTTAATATAATGATTGGCCATGCTGGATGTTCGTATTCCACATTTTAACATTCAATTTTATATACCATTTCCTATACATATGTACCTACAACGAACTGGAAATACTGATAATCTCATGCTTGTTCAGCAGCCATTTTTTTAAAGTGAGCAATTCGTTAAGATGAGGTGGATATCTCAACTTTTTTTACCACAAATCTTCGGTAACAAAATACTCTTTCGGGTAACAAATTTCTTATTTTAAATGATGCGGAAAATTGTGTTTGGCCGCTCTTTGATGTATTTATTTATCCTTGGCCTCTTTTTTTTATACAGATTGGATAAACGTTTTTTTGATTTGGGATAATAAAATATTTTTTTGACGGGACGCTTTGTGATGTTTCGTTCAAACACTGTTTTGCAGATGCAGCAATGTACTTAGAAAGCATAGACATAGATAAATGCATTCAACAAAAATGTTTTCATAGTATTATGCTGGCTTTGATGTTCGTTTCATGAATAAAACTGCACATGCATGAATTCGTATGCTTCTATTTGCTCATCATTTGGGAGAAATTTGTTTGATTACTTTTTCAAGCTCGCTTGACTTTTTTTCTTAATTTGAAGAGACAATGAAAAAAATAGTTTTGTCAGAAAAATCGAAAAACTTAACTATCAAGTCAAACAAGATGGTAATGCAGTGGTTTTTTTGTTGATAAATTGAAGAGATTATGTATTTATGTATTTATTTATGTCTGTCTGTCTGTTTGTCTGCGTGTATGTATGTATGTCAAAAAACACAGCTATAATATAAACCACGCTAACAATGCAGTAGTTTGTATTTATGTAAACGTGCCTTATCAAATTGGCTTTGACTTGCTGTCCGAAGAGTTTAAAACGTTTTTCAGTACAACTCCACTATTACACCATTTTTTTATAAGACACAACATTCGCCAAAAGCACCTGTCCCACCACACAGCAGAATTGATGGCCGTAAAACCATAAAAAGCGAGTCGTTGCAGAGAACTTGTCTTGATCGATATGGAAGAGACAGTTGTTGACCAATCGTTAGGATTACTTATAGGATGTTTCCCAACCTTGAATATTGACAAGTTTTCAAAAAACTGATTCACTACAACCGAATGAAATCCAAGTAACTCTTTCAAGACAGAATTTGCGATATTTACCCTGCAACTCCCTATGAAAAGCTTCATCAATACAAATGGAAAAAAAAGAATCAAACTAATTTCGTTTGCAGAAATTTTTGGATCGTTGCACAGTTCAGTTCATTCAATAAGATGTCAAAAACCAATCAACCACTTTTTCTTTACACGGTTTAGGAATATGGTCGACGACCATTATACACTTATAAAAATAAACAAAATCCTAACTGATTCGCAAAACTCCGAGCAATTCAGGTCATCAAAAATGTTTAAAGCAGCGCTCAATAAAAATGCGTTTCAGTCACTTCAAACATTATATTCAACCTTTAGAGAATGAAAAATTTGAAATAAAATATTCACTAAAATTAAAAGATATTTTAATGTTTGTTATCCGTAATTAATCAGTAATTTCATAAAAAGAACGACAGGACAGAACATGTCAAACCATTAAGAGTAAAACATTTCTAATAACAATTTATTTATTCAATCATTTAGCAAAGTTATGACGATTATAAAGACTGGAAAGTGGATAATAAAGTGATTATATTAAAAGTAATTATCCTCAACCAATTGATGATCAACAATGATTCAATGAAATTATATGATATACCATAAATGTCTAAATGTAGTAACACCCTAACACACGCATATCATTACTTGAGCATAGTAGGCCCTGGATTAAGCTATCGCTTTGCTAAATGAATGACCTTTGCTGATACTATTTTTTTTTTGTGTTGCACGTTGTTTTATAATGCTGTTGAGTTTTGATCATCGTTCATTTGCTAAAAACTTTTGTATCTGTAATTGTTAATTTTCTTTTTATAAAATAATTTTACATTGTATTTAATATTTTGTTTGTAATTATATATAAAATGGTGAACAAATGCTCAGCTTACGGATTTAAAAGTGGATACAAATCAAATGCAACAAATGACGAGAAAAATGACCTATCGTTTAACGCCTATCCACTAAAAAATCCGGATTTGTGCACTAATCCTCACATAGATCATGTTAAAAACAAACATTCCAATATTTGTTTACTCCACTTTGATTAATCAGATTTCGTCACATGTTTTAGTGATAGGTACCATCCAAATTTCAAAATGCATTTTCGTATTTGTCCACTCTAATCCAACAACCTCGATCGACAACAAAATTTTCATCAGCTACTCATCGCGTGTTAAATATTGAAATCTGTTTCTATCTGTATATCAGAATCTGAAAACTCTTTCTTTATGTATGAACTGACAAAAGAGTTCAAACTGTTGTATGCTTCATCAGTCCTCATTTCAACAAATTTGCTTTTAGTAATATCAATCAAATTCTTTGCAAATGCTACATCAATGTTATTACTTTGCAAATAATTAGACAAAAAGTTAATGTTATTCAACACTTTTTGTAAAAAAAAACATCAGTAAAACAAAAGAATAGTTAGTCAACAACCTAAAAAGTCCAACAGCTTCTGCTCGGACACTTCCTGTATAACCTTTTTCTCCATAATTAATATCTTCTAGAGTTTCCAAAATAGCAGAAAATGATTCCACATTCTTTTTTTTACAGATAAAAAAAGGGGCGCCAATTTTAGCAAAAGACCGCGCGGGGGGGCGACTATGGTAGATCCGCTACTGATGAGCGTTTAAAGGTTTCTTATTTAGATGTTTCGTCGAGACATCTATGGATCTACATATGGAAATCAAGTAAATTTACGAGTTAATTACCCAAAATTTAAAAAAAACACGTTTAAATATATAATAAAAGAAATTAAACCCCTTGTCATTCGGTTTACGTCGCATCAGCAATTACAGCGGGATTCCAATCAGAAAATTTATAATACAAGTTTCGTTTAGAAATAATATTATAACCGAATGAAATTACACAAGAATCATGTCTGCTCAAAAAAAAATGTAAATATAGGAAAGTTATCAGACAACAAGCAAGATTCACAGCCGATTTATGAAAAGATTATTATTAGATAAAGTATGATTATTTAATGAAGAGTCTTGGTGGTAGAAAGTTGTAAGAAAAACTATAAGAATAAATATGGAACATCATTACATTTATTTTTAATCAAGTCAATATATTTGTTATATATATATATATATATATGTATATAAAATATATACATTAAATTCGTTTGAAGTTTCGGCTGGTTTCGTTTCTGCTCCGTGTTTTTCTTGATTAGATAGAATTTTCATATAGTGATTTAATTAAATTTAGTTGCATATAATAGAGGAAATTTAGACAAACAAATTTATATATATTTTTTATCGATATTATTATTTGTTAATTTTACTTTAATTTATGTTATTTGCTTTAATTTAATGGAAAACCTAATTTAAATAAGCGTAGTTATAAAGTTGAAGTTGTTGCAAAGACAAAGTCAGATTCGTTGAAAAACTTCAGCTGTTTTCGTTGCGGTTGTGTTTCAAATCTTACGTTAATACCTGATGATGTGTACTGTTTTATTCAGAAGTATAATAATTTCAAGTGGTTTTGTGATACATGTAATAATGTTTCTCCAGACACCAAATCATCAACGGAAATAGACACGGATCTGCTTGCGAGGGCAGTTGACAGAAGTAAACAGGAATTGATGATTAAAATTGATGGGTTGACAAATGCCAGTAAAATCATAGAATCGGAGCTCCGGAATATCAGATGTGCAGTAAAATTGAATGATGAAAAATTAAGCAACATTAATCATGCTGTTGATGAGATGCGTACGGGCAGTGGTGGAGTTAGTATGTCATGGACCGATATAGTAAGCAAAGAGGTTAAAAAAACATTGATGTAATTAACGTTGAAGTCAAGAATGTGCAAAAAAAGTTGAATGATGCGACAGATATCAAGGAGAGAGAAAAAAATTTGGTGCTTTTTAGACTTGCTGAAGGAGACGACGACAAAGAACGTGTTATGAAGATTTTTAATCACTTGACTCGAAACGAAGTTGCCGAGAAAGCAGTTGTTAAAGTAACGAGACTGGGGAAAAAACAAGAAAAAATAAACAGACCGTTATTGATAAGTCTTGATAGTGTTGAGTCGAAAAACTTAATAATGGATAATGTATCACGAATGAAATCGTTGGATGATGTCCTAAAAGGTGTTTGGCTTAGTCACGACCTATCAAATGATCAGAGAGATGAGCTGAAAAAGTTGATCAATGATGCAAAAAAGCAGGAATCTGTAAGCGGTGATTTTTATTCAGAGTGAGGGGACCTCCGGGAAGATGAAAAATAGTCAAGTTTTGGAGGGATCAAAAACTGAAAGAAAAAGTTTGATTGAGAGAGATGGCACTGATGGTAGCGTTGATGATATTGATTTTGATGGAATAAACGTTGAAAGTTGTTTTAGATATGCAAATAATAAAAGCCA